GCTACCCAGATGCCCTAGCATCTGACTCTTGATTTCAGCTCAGGTCATGATCTCAGCTTAGGTCATGATCTCAAGGTCGTGGGGTCAAGCCCAGCATGGAGGCCTGGGTTGGGCTCGGTGCTCAGCAGGGAGTCTGCTTGAGAATTCTCTCTCCTTCTACCTCTGCTACCCACTCCCTGTGCTCTCTCTCTCTCAAATAAATAAATAAATCTTCCAAAAAAATTTGTTGTTCATTTGAAACTCAAATTTACCTGAGCATCCCAGATTTATGTATTAAATCTGGTAACCCTCCTTATGTCTGGAGGAACATTTTGGTCTGTTTGCCAGCCTGTGCCAAGTTCAAAAGGTCAAATGTCATGGGCCGAAGTGGAGTCCGAAGTGGGAAGTGTAACTTTTAAAGGTGACACTTAGTAACATCCATCTGGCCAGAGTTCAGGCGGGAGAGGGAGAGACACAGCTAAGAGGACAAGCCTGACTGGTTCAGTCCGTAGAGCATGCAATGCCAGGGAAACAACTCATGATCTCAAGCTTATGAGTTCAAGCTCTACGCTGGGCATAGAGCGAACTTAAAAAAAAAATGAGGACAAACTAAGGCAGTAGCTGGACAACTGCGCTGCTGGGAGCACCTTAGAATCTTTATATTAACCTGCTTTTATACCTTAAAGGTGAGGGCATTCAGGGGTGCTGGGGGAGCTCAGTTGGTTGAGCATCCAACTCTTGATTTTGGCTCAGGTCATGATGTCAGGGTCATGAGATCAAGCCTGCTTGGGATTCTCTGGCTCCCTCTCCCTCTGCCCCTCCCCCTGCATGCTCAGCGCTCTCTCTCTCTCTCTCTCTCAATAAAAAAAAAAAACAAAACAAAACTGGAAGGAGGGGCATTCAGAGAGGGAACCTAAAAACCCCTGTCCAAGTTACTGGCTGATGGCAGTTTTCTGTGGGAGACAGGGAGGGAGTGTTTTGGGGAGAAGAGAAGGGGGGGGGAATTCCAGGCCGTTACTGAGGAGGGACAGTTGAATTGGTGGAGAGGTGACCTCTCTGTTCCTCAAAGCCCCTCAGGCCTGGGGAATTGGGGTCACTTCCCTTGGGCTTCCTGAAGGCAGGCTGCTCATTGGCCTTAGCCTGGACTCACATGCTTTGCTTAGTTTGGGGGCTGCGGTTGCCCCTCAGGGCTCAGTCACGCAGAAAGGGTCAATAAAGTACTATCCCAAGCCAAAGAAGAAAGACAATAAAACCACCCTCGGGGTCAGAGGTCACCTAGTCACTGATTGAGATATTCACAACTCTTTCCCTCTCTCCTCTCTCCTTGTCCCCTCTGGCTCTCTGGAGGGCTGGCCCTCCCTAGACTCTTTACTTTCCGCCTTTCTCCAAAGCCAGAGTTCTCCCTGGAAATCAATGAGGTGTGGGGTTGGAGAAAAAAAAATCATGTCCTATAATATGAAGCTTGAAAAAACTGGAGAGTGATGGTGGATGTCCCCTCACCGCCCCCCCCCCCCCAGTTAAGAATACCTAGCCTCATGGCGCCTGGCTGTCTCAGTTTGTGGAGCGGGCGACTCTTGCTTTTTCTCTGGAGTTCTGAGTTCGAGCCCCGCGTTGGGTGTGGGTTTACTTAAAAACAAAATCTTAAAAAAAAAAAAAAAGAAAAAGAAAGAAGGAAACCTAGCTTAGGTGATGGCTGCAGCCCAGCTACTCCAGGGATCCGCAAGCTTTTTCTGTAGGGGGTCAGATGGAAAATACTTCAGGCCTTGCGGGCCACGTTCAGTCCCCGAAGCATAATCTTCCTCACCCCTTTCTCCTCCTTTTTCTGCTTCTGACTCCTTGAAGAATTAAAGCACAAACACACACACCTTCCCTCCAGAGGCCATGCAGATGCAACCCAGGCCACGGGCTCGGTTTGGCTTGCCAGTTGCCAAATCACATTCAGACTAGAAGTTAGTCTCATTTACTCCTACTCTGTCTTGTTTGGAGGTGAGGAAAGAAAAGGGGAAGAGGGAGCTGTGCTTTGTTTTAATATCAAAGCACTTTCCTCCCATCCTCTCACTAGGAAAGGACTTCATGAGTGACTCTAAACCCAATGCAAAAACTCGGGGCAATTCGAATTTACAAAATGCCCTTCCTGAACTGTATGGAGCTCCTTGGGAGTTGAATGGGCTGGGGACAGCATTTTTTTTTTAGGTGGCTAGGGGGCACCCCCTCAGCGTGGGCGAAAGAGAAGATCATTGGGGCGACTGTAGCCTCTGCCCCCAGGGAGGAGGGAAGGAGGAAGAGGGAATGGTGGAAAGGGCCTGGACTAGAGGAATGGAGCCCCAGACCTAAGCAGCACAGCTGAGACTCACTGCCAGAATCCGTGATGTGGCCCAGAGGTACCCACCCCTCCGGTCACTTTGGAATCAGGATCCTGTCCCCAAAGCAGAGAAATGAAGCCAATACTTCAGCATAGTCTAGCTCCTTTATTTTGGAGCCGAGATCATTTACATTTCAGAACGAATGGAGCATTTGGCTGTTGGAAGGAACTTAGGGTCCGTGTGTGCTCCAAAACATCAGACAAGCTTCGCAGGACACGTAGACACTAATCAAATGCATCATTGTCTATCGGCCTCTGCCTGGGCACTCCCCACCTACAGAGGTTCTGATCTTGAAGGGGAAGCCCTCTTCCAATGGGACTTGTCCTTCTGGCACTCAGAGCCACTGCCAGTGTGCCTTAGAGCCTGGAGGCCCACATCTAGGCACCCCCAGAGCAGTAAAGATGCCGGCCTCAGGACCTGGTGGGCCACGACCACCGCTCACTATGAGCCCTGCTCCCAGACTCGGAGAGAGAGCACTGCCCGCTGCCCACAGCTTCACTCCATTTCCTGTATTCCTAGGGCTCTCCTCATAATCCCAGACTGGATTCTGATAGCTCTAGTTCAGTTCCCTGCCTTCTTTCTCCAAGTTCAATCCTATTTACTTTATTTTAGCCTGAATCTCTGAAGTTCCAATATATATCCTGCACAGCCTTGATTGACAAGTACAATGAAAATGTCTCGTTCGCGTCTGGTTTGCATTTCATTACATTGGTCAGCGATGTGTCTTGGAATGGAGGACAAAGGCAAAACAGATTTTTTAAAAGGGTTGATTAACAATATCTATTTGCTCACTCTATTTTGTATTTTCAGGGCACTGAGGGCTTGTGAAATATGTGTCGAATGATGGGAGTGTGGTGAAAACTCTAATGTAGCCAATCAAATCTGCAGCCCAAATGAGCGGTTGGCGAGTATGTCCGCAGGTCCCGGGGCTCCGGAGATCGATAGTTGAGCTCGGCCCCTGAAGCCAATTAAGAGCTTTTATCTTAGCATAAAAATAAAGAGGAGTTAAAAACGATTCCTTTCCCAGCTTTCTCGCTCTTCAATTTTTATCGCGATGTGCAGTTTTTCTTTTAAAAAGATCTGGGACTCTGAAGAGGGTGGGGATTTATGTAAAGAAAGTGTCGTTTACCAGGAAAAAAATCGTGAATAATGGTGAGTTTCAAGGACATGTTTCAACGTGAAACACTCTTGTGCTCCAGTAGGAAGAGGCAGGGGCACCAAATTCAGCGTCTTGGAATAATTCCCTTCCTGGATTCAAAGATTCATTTATTGAAATAAATCAGGAAGCATTGGCAGAACGGAAATCCGCTTGCTGGGTTTAAAGGGTCTTTAAAATGTTGCGAGTGTTAGATTGCAAGTCTTTTCTAAATACAAAACAGAAGAAAAGACCGCAGTGTTTCCCTTGGACTTGAAAATTGCTAGGTCTCCGACTTAGGATAATTTCATGTCCGCCACAGAAAATGTGTTTTGAAAGAAATCCTGCCCGATAGCACGACGTGCTGTACATGTTTTGTTTTCTGGAGGAGGCTGGAGTGAGGAAAAAAGTGATGCAGAGTGGGGTCTGGGGTGTGCGGAATAATCAGTTCGCCCCTACCCCCCCACCCCATGTCCGGACGTTCTCTTTCCCTCCTGCTTCTCTAAGATGGATCCTAAAATTCAGGCTCAAAAGCTTTGCTTGTCTGGCAATGACCAGTTTCACTGATTTTATTTATTGCTTCAGATTTGGGCATGAGAATAAATCTTTTTCCTATTTACTGTTTGAACTCAGTGTGAGGGAACGGATCCCATTCTATTTCCTATCCGTACAGACATGTGGATATTTAGACCAGACCACATACAACTGGGGGACGCATAAAAGAGATTTATTGGTTAATTTACGCTGCCTAATACACATGTAAACCCCAGTAAGCCAACACTGCCGGAGGAGCCTCGGTTATTGCGTAAAATAAGACCCACGACCCCTGGGTTCCAGCTGCCCTGCCTCGGGCCAGCCCAGCGATTCCTTTTTCCACCTGAGAAACGAGGGGACGAGAACTCCTGCCTTCCCTCACCAGCCTGAGTGCTGGCAAAACTTTTCTTTGCTTTTCTTTTTCGGTCACCACTCCACTTTCAGACACAGCTCCCCAAAGCCCTCGGTGCCCCGAAGTCCTTCCCGGGGTCTCCTCCGAAAAGCCAGTTGCGGGGTGAGAGCTGCAGGTAATCAGGTTAACTTCGCTGTATCATTATTACTCTTACTGCCTGACGGGAGTGGTTGGCTTTGGGGGAGGGGGCTTTGTTTTCATAGGCGGTAAACTTGCTGTATCTGGAGATATTTCGCCTTCTATCTGTTTCGAGGGCCAAGGTTTCCCCTCCCAAAAAGGAAACCTCCACCCAAACCAACCCAAAATAGAATCCGAAATGGTCTGCCTCTGTCCTCCTGTTCACAAAGCCCACAGCCTCATCCTCTCGGGGCCATCTGGGGACCCTGCGCCTCCCAGAGCAACGACACCCCCTCAGAGTCGCACACTCGGACTGGGCCGGGCTGTCCCAGGAAGGGCTCCACCGCCCGGGGTTTTGGCCTGGCTGAACCGCCTCAGGTCGGCCCCTTAACAAGCATCCCCCCTCCCCACTTCTCGGTTGATGATCTAATTGAATTATGCCTTTTTGTTCCAGGGACTACAAAGCACGTGCTGGAGGCAATTAATTATCGGAATGTGGCCATATCAAAACGGACACTGGGCACCCGGTAGGTCAGCAGCCGCAACATCCCCCTGCCCTGCGCCCAGGACCCCTCCCCCCGAAAGGGGCCGGCTGGGCTCCCTCCGCCGCCTTCCTCTCTCGGCCCCTCGCCCCGCTGCCCGCCCTAACTCCCCAACACGCCAGGCCCCAGGTTCTCGGGGCGGGGGGGTTGTTACCTGGCCCGGCTCTCCGCAAACCCTTGCACCAGCGCTGGCCGTGCGAGGGCCTGACAGCCACCCCCCCCACCCCCCGCCCGAGCCTCGAGAACCGCTCTCCTCTGCTCGGGCGACGGGAGGAAATCCAAACTTTTTCTATGCAACTCCGCGCCCAGGGTCCGTGGGGGTCGGTGGGAGGTGAAGAGAGGTAGAGGGAAGGAAGGATAGAAAGGGCAAAGTGAAAAGAAAGGGGGAAAGAAAGCAAAGCAATCCTCCCTTTTTGTAAACCTGACTCCAGGGAATTCATTTGCATGATTTAGGCATATTTGTTCTTCTCTGAGCACCCCCCCTCCGCAAAGAAACCTTCTGCTGAGCGACACTGAAACTGTTCTTGGAGAGCCTATTTTCAGAATATGTAATCATTTAAGTCAGTCATGAACTCACCTTCCAACCTGGGGAGAGAGCTGTGGATGGAGAGGGAGAATTGGGGCGAGTTTGATGGGAGGGGGTGACTACGGTAAGTGTGCTACCGGGCAGGGTTTCCCCCCAGCAAAATGGCAAAGAAAGAAGGTGAAGTCTTGGCCTGGCCAGGCGGACTGGGGGGCAGGAAGTGAAAGGCTGCGGTTATAAAGCGCTGCTTGAGGCTGTCTCTCCAAGCGCCTCTGAACTTGATCAGATGTTCTGTTTCCTACAGAGAGATGGCGGCCAGGCTGTGAGGCTAACTCAAGACACAGACTTTGGGGGCTCAGCCCTGTTCGGGATGTGACAATCACAGTCATCTTTCTGCGGGCCTTTTCTTTCCACTCCCACTCTCTACCATTCTTTGCAAATGCCCTGCCGGACCAAAAAATGAGTGGATTTATGGCCCTGTCTGAACCTGGCCATTAAGTCTAGAAAGACCTAGCACCAGGCGGAGGCGGGGTGGGGGGGGGGGGGGGATGTGATTCAACACACAACTCTGGAAAGTAAATCCTCAAGGGGTGAGAATTCCCTGAGGTCACTACGTGCTTCTCTGGGTAGGAGTAGAAGAGAGCAAAGCCTTGGCTGTTCAGAGGGAAGAAAATTCCACCTCACAGTTCCCATTCCTGCCTCCCCCCAACTTTTGCATTTGAAAATGTTGAGAATTCGGAGCCGATTACCCTTTGGGTTGGAAACCGCGCCGATCCAGTGTGTGTGTAGTGCGTTCAGTGCGTTGTGTGCGTGTGTTGTGTGCGCAGGCTAAGTGTATTCTGTGCGTGTATTTACTCTGTTGTGTGTTCGGTTTTTTATGTGCCTGTGTTTTTACTGTTCTGTGTGTAGTTTGTTGTCGTACTGGGTTGTGTGTGCTTACTCTTCTGTTTTGCTCTGCGAGTTGTTAACTGTGCTGCGTGAGTGTTCCCAGCTACGTGCTCGCGTTTACTGTGTTACATGTTTGCTGAGCTGCGGCTGTGTGTCATACGGGGGGGGGGGGGTAGGGGCAGCGGCGCGTAGAGCCACCACACACTCACTGAAGAGTCAACGCTTGGCTCCGACGGAAGTTAAGCGAAATCGGCTCTAACTGTAACCGTTTCTCCTCGTTTGGGCCTCGGACGGCCAGCAGCAGCTCGGGGCCCGGACGGCGAGCTGGCCGGCCCGGGTCCGTGCTCTCGGGGCCATCAGGGCCCAGGGTGGCGTGTGGGGAGGACGCGGCTCATGGGCCGCGAACCTGGAACGGCTACGCTCGTCCTAGGATCGGCGCCCAGCGGCCGCCGAGAGGGCGCTTTCTCCGGCTGGTGAGGCGGCGGGGGCCCAAGCGGGGCTGGACAGCCAGCGCCGCGCCGACGGTGGGAACGATCTCCGCGGGGCAAAGAGTGCGTTTGGCCAAAGCGGGTACAGCGCGTGAGGGGTGCCTGCCCGCTTCGGGCAGGAGGGAAGCCGGGGAGAGGCCGGGCTCCGCCCCGCCGGCCGCTGACTCCAGCCTGGCTCCGGTTCCCCACTGCAGCGCAAGCCCCGCGGAGCCCACTCGCGGGCGCCGGGCCGCCGCCTCCGCCTCACCTGCCAGGCGCCCCGCCACGGCCCAATCAGCGGCGGTCGCTCGGCTGCGGCTGCCATGTTCCCCGCTCCGCGCTGCCAATCAGCGGGGCGGCGGCCAATGGGCTGCGGGGCCGGGAGTCAGGTGACCGAGGGCCAGCTGGCTCCCCATTGGCGCGCGCCGCGCGGCCTCCCGCTCGGTTTATGTGAGAGGAGTGAGTGATTGACTTTATCAGTCCAAGGACATTACTCTGGAGGCGAGGAGGCTGGGACTCGCGGGGCGAGCGGCGAGGACCGAGTCTGCCTCCAGCCCGCTGCCTGCCCGCCGGCCACGAGCCGGCTCGGCTACTAAGCGCAGCCCAGCCGGGAGACCGGCGCCCAGGGAGCCTCCTGGCCCCGCGGTGCTGCGCTCTCTCGGGGAGAGGAGGGGTGCCCGGGACCGGATTGGCCAACTCCGCCCTCCACTTATTATTTTGCTTATTTTTCTTTGTGCGCGCCTGTTAGTTTGTTAAACCAGATCTAGTCCCGGAGTCTTTTCTCCTCCCTTCTCCCCGCTCCTTCTTCCCCCCTCCTCCCCCCTCCTGCTCCTCTACTTCCCCTCCTCCCTCCTATCCCTCTGCAGGAGACTCTCACAGCGACGGAAAGTTGCAGCCCCTGGCACCGCCTTGGGGGTCTCCTGGCAGTGTCCAGCCGCCGCCACCCCTCGCCGACTACGGCACTTCGGAGATCTCCTCCTTCGCCCGCACTCTCGCTCAATTCAGCGGTATCGCCTGTGCCCAGAACGCCCCACCCATGACGATGCTCCTGGACGGAGGCCCGCAGTTCCCCGGGCTGGGAGTGGGCAGCTTCGGCGCGCCGCGCCACCACGAGATGCCCAACCGCGAGCCGGCGGGCATGGGGCTGAATCCCTTCGGGGACTCGCCCCACGCCGCCGCCGCCGCCGCCGCCGCCTTCAAGCTGAGCCCCGCCGCGGCTCACGATCTGTCTTCGGGCCAGAGCTCTGCGTTCACGCCGCAGGGCTCGGGTTACGCCAACGCCCTGGGCCATCACCACCACCACCATCACCACCATCACCACGCTGGTCAGGTGCCCAGCTACGGCGGTGCCGCCTCCGCCGCCTTCAACTCCACGCGCGACTTTCTGTTCCGCCAGCGCGGTTCCGGGCTCGGCGAGGCGGCCTCGGGTGGCGGGCAGCACGGGCTCTTCGCCGGCTCGGCGAGCAGCCTGCACGCTCCAGCGGGCATTCCCGAGCCTCCCGGCTACCTGCTCTTCCCCGGGCTGCATGAGCAGGGCGCCGGGCACCCGTCGCCCACAGGGCACGTGGACAACAACCAGGTCCACCTGGGGCTGCGCGGGGAGCTCTTCGGCCGCGCCGACCCGTACCGCCCGGTGGCCAGCCCGCGCACGGACCCCTACGTGGCCGGCGCGCAGTTCCCTAACTACAGCCCCATGAACATGAACATGGGCGTGAACGTGGCGGCCCACCACGGGCCCGGCGCCTTCTTCCGTTATATGCGGCAGCCCATCAAACAGGAGCTGTCGTGCAAGTGGATCGACGAGGCTCAGCTGAGCCGGCCCAAGAAGAGCTGCGACCGGACCTTCAGCACCATGCACGAGCTGGTGACACATGTCACCATGGAGCATGTGGGGGGCCCGGAGCAGAACAACCACGTCTGCTACTGGGAGGAGTGCCCTCGCGAGGGCAAGTCCTTCAAGGCGAAGTACAAACTGGTCAACCACATTCGAGTACACACGGGCGAGAAACCCTTCCCCTGCCCCTTCCCGGGCTGCGGGAAGATCTTTGCCCGCTCCGAGAACCTCAAGATCCACAAGAGGACCCACACAGGTAAGGGGGAAGGCAGGCGGGCGCGGGGTTCATCGCGGCGCCGCGCCACGAAGCCGACTAGCTGCGCGAGGGAGAGGGGTGGCGACCAAAGAGGGGCGGCGCCCGGCCGGGGCCGTTCGGGAAAGAAGCGCTGTCAGTGTCCCTCCACCTCTCCCCCTTCCCGCCCCTCGGCGCTTTTGCCCAGTTCTAACTTCCCCGGCAGACGGCTCCGCGGGCTCAGGAACTAATTGGAACCTTCTCGCGCCCAGGAACAAACTGGCGCCGCCTCTTTTTGTCTCTCTTTTCTGGGTTACTAGGAAGGGACTCCGTCTGTGATGAGAGCGGATTGCTTACAAGCGACTTAGCTCTCGGCACACATTCGGGGAAGGCGACCATAGAAATGCTAATGAAAACTAACTTTCGGTTACTTCCGCTCTTTTTTACCCTTGATTGGCATATCTCCTAATTAAATGACTGATACTTTTGTCAAACTATTTTTATTTGGAGTTCCAGGTTCAATTCAGCCCTTCGGGAGGAAAGCTAAAGTAGAAAAGGCACCTCAGTTTTCGTGGCTTGTTCCGAACATCTTGTAAAATTGTCCAGAGCCCCCGGATTATATATAGTTTTCTCTTTTCGAACGTTAAGTACGACGACCCATGCTTTTTAATACTGGTTTAGCAAAACCGCCGCGTTTGAAAGAGGCGAGTTAAAAGGTACAAAGAAGGAACTGAACGGGATTGCCCCGTCCCCGGTCCATTGTCCCGCCCGGGCTGGGTTACATCGCCGAGGTGGCGGCGGAGCGTGGCCACGCGTTGGGAGCCCCGGGCGGGGTGGGATGGAAGCACAAGTTAGGGGAAAGTTTGGAGGAGCCCGAGGCTTCCCCATCCTGCGCGAGAACAAAGGGACGCGCAGGTTCGGGGCCGGCCCTGCCCCACCCCAGCCGCGACCACCACTCCCCAGCCCGGTGGGCTCAACCAGCGCTCTCCATTTTTTCTCCAGGGGAACGAGATGCCACGGCCGCCCCCCAGTCGGCGCTCCCTCTCCGGCCAGACCGCCGGGCGCTCTGTCTCCGGCTGCTGGGCCCTAGGAAGCTCCGGGCCCTGACCACATTTTTGCCCCTTTGCGTTTTTGCCTCTTGCAGGTGAGAAACCGTTCAAATGTGAATTCGAAGGCTGCGACAGACGCTTTGCCAACAGCAGCGACCGCAAGAAGCACATGCATGTGCACACCTCGGACAAGCCCTATATCTGCAAAGTGTGCGACAAGTCCTACACGCACCCGAGCTCCCTGCGCAAGCACATGAAGGTAATTACCTCTTTATTAGCGGTCGGCGGTTTATAAAACACTCGGCCCGACACCGGGCCGCGGAACGGAAGCGCCCGCGCTGCCAACCCTGTATCCTCCACGTTAAATCCGATTTGCTCCAGCGGTGACACCTTGAACCCATTTTGGGCACCCGGAGGGGGGGGGGCGGGGGAGAGCACAGTTGGGAGAGCACAGTGGGGAGGAGGAGGGAGCAGAGGGAACAATTGGTTGTTTACTGGGAAGCTCTAACCGAGCTCGCCAGGGCTTGAGGTTGTAGTGGCCGCCTCTTCCCCGGCACAGCCCACGGTGGAAACCCGGAGTACCCGCGCCGAACCCGGGGGTGGGGGGTTCATTCGCTCTTCGGCTGCCCTGCAGATCAGACAATAGGGCCAAGGAGCGTGGTCTGATTCCCACGCATTCTTCTGAGACCTCGCAGCGCCCGGGGCGCCTGGGCCACCTTTCTCCGTACCTGCTTTCCCAAGCCGAAGCGGGCTTGGGGAAACCTGGGCCGGGAAGGGCGTATTTTGTAGGCCCCCCAAAGACTAAGTGCTTATCCCACTCCATCCGCGGAGAAAGGGCACAAATAAGACAGGGCGGTGTATGCCTTTTCCGTAATGCCAGTCTTAGGGCTGAAATCGTCGTGTTGGCGACCATCTCCGGGTTTTCTAGACCTCGGTAATATGGAAATTAAAAACAAAAAACCCCCAGATCAGCAGCATTTTTCGTTTAAGTGGGTCATTGGGCGGTCTTGCTCTTACAGTGCGCGAATTCTGCTCTTGTTTTTTGCTTGCACAATGCCAGTTGGAATTATATTCATTATAATATATACATGTTAATTTTAGGTTCATGAATCTCAAGGGTCAGATTCCTCCCCTGCTGCCAGTTCAGGCTATGAATCTTCCACTCCACCCGCTATAGCTTCTGCAAACAGTAAAGATACCACTAAAACCCCTTCTGCAGTTCAAACTAGCACCAGCCACAACCCCGGACTTCCTCCCAATTTTAACGAATGGTACGTCTGAGGACAAACACAAACACAAACCCTGTTAACCATAGAATGGACCAAATGCATTTTAAAAAGGAAACTGAGACCAATCAGATGGAAATGGAGTTTTTTTTAAGGCAAGAGGCCATATATAGGGTTACATCTTGTTAATCGCAATTGTCAGGAAGGTTTTTGGGCGAGATCCAAAAGTAGCCATGCCCTTTGCTCAGGATTAGAAAATATGTTTTGGCATTTGAAGGATTTTCCAAAAAAAAAAAAAAAAAAAAACCTCTTTCACTGCTTTTTCCTCCCTCTTCTCTTGCTCTCTGCACACCCCATTCCTCAACTCCTTGAGCTCATTTTAACACTTGTCCTGTTTCTTGAGAGGAAGTTATAGAAGGCTTGTTGGTGATGGTGATGTTAAACTGATGGAAATTCTCCGCCTTAGTGGTGATTGTTTAAACTCTCACAGTCTTAAACCGTGCCAAAGTCCTGTTATGTCTTGAACTTTTCCTCAAAGCATTACACTTGTGAATGTATTTTTGTCTAATGGGGTCGAAACTGTTGTTCAGTATTTTTTCAGGCTGAGGATGTGATGTTACTCTACACAGATTGTGACGTTTAGTATACAGTTGCCTTTTGTAATAACTTTTTTTTTGTAAATACATATCCATTGATGCCATATTTATCGTTTGTAATTTAATTATTGCTACAAGTGCCGGGAACTGAACAATATTTATGGAAAAAAATGTTTTCTAACAAATGCTGTACAGCTTTTGATTATAACTGCTTTAGCATTAAATTTTATTGTTTTGAAAGAAGAACACAATTTACAGTTTTTTGAACCGACTCCTTTCTCTTGTCTTGTAACAGCCTCCCTCTACAAAGAGGAGACGTAAGCAAATGAAATCTTGTTTGTTGGTATTTATAACTCACTCAGATCCCTTTTTTAATTGTTAAATTATTTTTCTATTGCAGTGTAGATTCCTTACAGTGTCCGTTTCCATCTGGGGGAGACCCTCCTTTCTTTATCTGTAGCTCAGATGGTTGTTTAACTGCGAGTTTAAATGTGTTTGTCCTGGATTTTTGGCATGCAAATCAGATATTACTGATGAGTTCAGTTAGTGGCCATGACATCTCAATCTTGTATTTCAAAGACTGAGAAGCTGGATTTAATCATCCCTGCCCTAAATATATAAACATAAGGTAACCTAATGAGTTTTATGTCCCTTAGTTTTTTATTACCTTACATAAAAATGAACATTGTGGCAGGATGCATGTCTCTGCATTCTGTTGAGATCACCCGTATACATATATATGTTTGTATCTATGACTTATCTAATCTGCCTATCAAATCTATCTAGCTATCTATATATTTTCAAAAGTAAGCGTGTGTCTGAAACAGTGGTGATGAGTAAGGCCAGTTGAGCCGTGCTTACTTATGGTTAAAGTGCTTCTTAAAAGAACCATAGTCCATTTACAGTTTCGGAAGGGCAAAGGCTGATTTGTTTTGCTGTATATAGTTCAATTCATAATTACCAGTTACTCATAACATTTTTATAGTGGTGTAATAACTGCAGCGGTTCTGAAATGATACTATGGAAAGAGAAAAACATTTGCAAAAGATGTATTTTTAAAGTTCATGGTTTGTAGGCACAGATGTCAAGAGCATTGTTTCCATTAAAATCAATAACTGAAAAATGGTTGTTTGCTTTGTGATAAAATATTAACAATCCATTTAATCTTCAGCGAAGCAACTCATTTGGACAAACAGTTCGTTTACAGTTGTTATATGAAAAAAACTGATTATTATATTGGGGGGTTGGACTGGGTAGAGTATGAGAGACTTTTTTTGGACTAATTTAGGGTGCTGTTTAATATTGAGAGCCCAATCTCTGCATGAATAACCAGCTTGCAAATCAGCAAATAGAGTGGTGGAGATAAGGAATTGTAAAGAATTTAGAAATGTAATGAATAGGCTTAAGTACCTCCTTCTCTCGAAGGGGCAATGCTCTAGGTTTTTGGTGGCAGTCAATTTGGTATTATACATAATCACTTTGAATTATAGAATTTTGTTCATTGTTCTTTTTGAAGAAATAAAGTCTTGGCACATCTTATTTATAACATTTTTGTACTTAGTGCCTGATTTTTTTTCATGTTCAAATAAATCAACCTTAAATCGAAATGCTTAGAGAACTTCTGATAATTAAAAGAAACTTTGATTTCCTGGATACAGTTGAAGCAGTCTATTTTAAGTTGTCTACTGATCTTTGTCAACAATTACTGACAGTTTCTAATTGCAAATTGCTTTAGATGCAATTTTTTGTTTGTGGAGAATGTTTTTTTTTTTTCCACTTTCCTCCACCAGTAGACAAGGCAAGGGCCTGAATGCCATCAACAGAAAGATTGGGATGACTTCACAAGTGATGAGCAGGTAACCTGGTCAGTCCACCACTCCTACCCCAGACATTCCAATCTTGACCTTGACATTGAGGATTCTGGACTAAATTCCTATATCAGGATTTTTCCTTCACTTCAAACCAGAGGCCGTTTTAAATGCTCAGCAGGTTTGCAGAAGTGTATGTTCATAATATTGGTGCTAAATGTCTTCCAACTTAAATCTAAATAGTGTTTTTCATCTGAAATATACATTGAGGTCCCATAGTTTACTGTTCTCTTCATGAATTTCGTCTGCACCCCCAACTTACCCTAATCTTAAATGGGAGTTGACTGGTGGGTTGGTTGCAGGATTCTCTCAGAAACTTGCTTCTTCTCCCTACCAGTAAAAATACTAAATATCTCTTTAGGAGACATAAAGAAGACTTTGATTTTTTTCCTTAGCAGGCTTGGTATTATTCTGCTATAAAATTTTACAGTAAAGCGCTGTGTCCTGAGAGGGGAAGATACCAGTTAACAATGGCGATAAGCAATATTAAGACAAAGTAAAAGCTTGGCCCCTCTTACATGATTTCCTTTAATTCTGGTGTAGCATCATGTTTCTCCAATAGTTTGTGTCCTCCGCCCTGTCATTTGTTGGCAAAGAAGAGTTTATTTTAGTAGAAAACTTTTCACAGGTTTTCCTCTGTAATCTGGCTCTGGGAGTGCACATTTGTATTTTTGAATTTTCAGTAAAAACCTTAAAGAATAAGCGCCCCTCCCCAAACAAAAAACCTCGCAGCCCTAAAGATGTATCCGCTGGAAACCAGGAACGTCAGCTGGGCTCTTAGTGATCTACCTGTTACTTTCCTTCTTGCACCTGGTAAGACCTTTGTTAAAAGTCCATTATCTTTTCCAAAATGGGTGGTTTAGCTTAAGATTGCCACTGTGGGGTGGGGAAAGGGGAGGTGTCTATTTCCCAGCAGACAGAAGTCTGGCCTTCCTCCACTTCGGAAGGTTAAAGATCAGGGTCCAGGCTAAGCGGGCAGTCGGTCTCCGCTACTGCGAAGGTTGGAGAGCGAGCAGGGACCGCCTCCGCTCACAAAGCCTCCCTGGAAAGTTGTGCTCAGGTCCTCCTCGCCCCTCCCCCCTCCTCGCCGCCCGCTGTCCCCTCGCCGCTGCGCTCCTGGCACCCTCTGCTCCCCCCTCCCCCCAAACAGAAAAGTCGAAGGGCCTCTTGCCACTCAAGTTTCTGTAAGAATCGCCACCGGCATGCCCATGCCCCGAAGGGCGGGTTCTCTCACCGGCAGCTAGGCTGCATTGCTCGCGGGCTGGCTGACCCTCGAGGCTTTGCCCCCGGGACGAGGCCAGGCGTTTCGGAAGTCAGGGCTCCCGCTCCGCGCTGCTCGGGCCCCTCGTCTGGAGGCCCAGGGTCCCTTGCACACACCAAACTCTTGCAAGTCCCGGTCGAGGCTCGGGCCGCGGGGGAGGGGACCTCGCTTCCTAGGGTCAATTCTCTCGCGGTCTCGGCCCGCTGACCCTTTGACCTCCACCTACAGGGCCCTCGGCGGCCGTAAGCCGGCGGTCGCCCGGGTTCCGCGGACGCTTCGCGCCCCATCGCCTCCCGGCCTCATTAGGCCGGCGGGGCTGTAAAGCAGGAATCAGCCGCTGCCTAATCCGGACCTGGGGTCAATACGAGCCCAAACAATGGTGAGCTCCGAAGGCCACAGCGTAGCGCTGGCCGCAAACTTTGTGTTCCATTCATTTTCTCCAGGCCGGGGGGGGGGGGGGGGGGGGGGGGGGGGG